TTCCAAAAATACAGTTTTATATGTGCTGACTGCCTTTCTGTAAAAGTCACCGCGTGCTGCTGGTGACTGCTAACATGTTAACACACATCTGCACACCACTGATGTGTGGCTGCTTTGCCTCACAGCTAAATGCATTTGCAATAATTTGCAATTCCTGTTGGCTTATTCTCTGCAGCTCAGACTATTTACGCTGTTTTTTCCTCTATTATTCTGGACTAATTAAATTTAAAAAAAATGTTGCAAGCATGTGTTTTTTTTAACCTAAATTGTAGCACATCATTCTTCAGTTTAGTTTGCATCACCTCATTTATGTGCGTCTGCTTGTGTCCTTATGCCGTCTCTGACAGTTCCTATGTGATTCCTAAAATTTGCTGTCATACTTTTTACACATTCTCTATCCTGCTATTATTTTCTCTTCCTCCTTTTCCTTCACAATCTTTTTTAAATGCTGCAGTTCACATAGTATCCTAATCAGCCTTGTACTCATTATTAACAAATGCTTGAGGATGTTCAAATTACTGCATGACACCCTCTGATTTTCTGCTCCTCCTCCATTCAAGGAAACGTATATTTGAGTGTCTGGGAGGCGAGTTTCTAGAGTGAGTAATCAGCTGCCTGCTGGTTTTCTTGCAAACCACATTAACCATCATGGAAATTGAGAATGAAGAAGGTCCTTAATTGAGATGATTAGAGGATAAGAGTGAAAACAGATGGAGGGAATAAGCACAGGAAGGATGGGGGAACGAGTAGGTATGCATTGGTCTTGTAAAAATTATGTGAAGAAATGGGTGTATGCTTCTCTGGTGCCAAAAAGATTTGAACATTTGAGATATATTCACACTTTTGCACAATAAATGTTCCTTGGTTATAAAGTTGTATAATCCTGTATATAAAATGCCAGAGGTGTTTTATTTCTGGGTCTATTTTTTGTTTCAATTGTTGAGATCTGCTTTTTTCCTTAACAAATATATGTTATGTTTTCTCACATAAGAATTAAATGATCTAATTTTTTTTTTTTTTTTTATTTCTGAACTGAAACTAATATCAGAAATAAGGGGAAAAGAAAGAATCTCAAACATCTTATTTTGTTTTGAAGGATAAATCTGAGGTTGAATTAAGCCTGTTTTGAGATAAATTTTTAACTGTATCCAGGTTTGTCCTTGGTTTGTCAGTTGTTCCCTCCTAAAGTCGAGAACAGAGAACTGTGTGTGTGTGTGTGTGTGTGTGTGTGTGTGTGTGTGTGTGTGTGTGTGTGTGTGTGTGTGTGTGTGTGTGTGTGTGATGCACACAGATGCTCCCTGATGAGCACTTGTACACAAAAACACAGATGTTTGCATGCACAAGCAAAAGGGAAAAAAACTGTTAAGTGTGTTTACAGTTCATGTTGATTTCCCATCTTTTCATTTTGGTGTTCTTTGCTTTCATAGCCTTTTTCTTCCTCTTCTTTCTCTTCTTTAAATCCATCAGTGTTGACAAAGCTTTTGTTTAAAAGGTGTGGCAAATGTAAATAAATTTGCCTTTGACTCACAAAGCTCTATATAAACAAGGAAACCGCATACCCATATTGCTGCTGGCAGGAGGTCTGATGCTGCTGTCGAACAAAGGATTTGGTTCTTTGTTTACACACAAAATGTATGTGCGCACATATGTGTGTGTGTGTGTATGTGAGATACATGTTGAAGGGCTGAGTGGAGAAACCTCAAGGCCCCGCTGTCACCTCCTTCTTGGCGCATGACTGGGTGCTTCTGAGCTCTATTAGACTTACTCTCCTCGACCTCCCTTTTTCAAACACGAACGCGCACACACACACACACAAAATTCAGTCCAGTGCAGATCGAGCCTCAGTCACAACACTCTGAACTCTCGGAGGAGGCGGTGGGTGGCAGAAATCCATCGCTCAGCTTCGTGCCGCTAATGTGTATGAAGGTCTGAACCGCCATGTCTGAGTTGCCGCGTTAACTAATGATGGCGAGCTGAGGCGTGTTTGACAACTTTCTGCTAAAATATTCTTAAAAATCTAAATCCAAGTGGGGGTGGTAGGTTATGAAAACGGACAGCGTGGGATAGAGGGATGATTAGGCGGATGGATAGCTGGGTATGTGAAAGTGTTTTTGGCTCCAGCAGAGCAAGCCAAAAGCTCTTGATGTTTTCTAAGTGATAAACAGGTCAACAGAAGCAGTCAGTGTTTTCGGAACTAAGCAACCTGCTGCTGCTTCGATAGAGGAGAATCAGTGTGTGCAAACACCTGACTGTGAGCTCTGTTTGTAGAGATTTTATAAGCATTTACTGTATATATAAGATTCCTATGAACAGATCAGATACTATTCAAAATTATTTTTGGTTTTTGGTTTGCATGTCTTTATGTGTGCATATTAAATCCATTTTTTGTCTGTAATTAAACATTTTACACAACAACATAAAGCACAGAAAATATGAACCACAAACTGACTTGAAAGATGAGCATAAAATGTTTTGAGAACCACAGAATTAGTGGTCAAATTGGATTCACAGCAGTTACAAGTATTTCTAATGAGTACGTTCCTGTTTAGTCACAGTCAGGTTAGTGAGGCATTATTTAAAACAAACAAACAAAGACTGCTTTCCATTTTTTTCTCTACAAAGATGCATTTACATTTAGAAAACCAGAAGTAACACATTTATTACATTGCCTCACAAGGCTCGGTACTGGGGCCTGTTTTGTTTACGTGTGTGTGTGTACATGTTATATATATATTTATATATATATATATATATATATATATATATATATATAGATAGATAGATAGATAGATAGATAGATAGATAGATAGATAGATAGATAGATAGATAGATAGATAGAGATTTGATACATACATACACTTTTTCTTCCTTTTTTGGAACTAGCCAAATTTATATCTTTACATTGAGGATACATTAATGCAAATGTTTTTTGCTCAAAGAATTTGAAAGTTGCAGCTCCTGCCACTGGTAAAATGAAATACATCACATGTTAATTTTATATCACCAGGGGAAAAATTGTTATTGTAATAAACGTGTCATAAATGGTACAAATAGTCAAAGAGTATCGGAGAACAAATATCAAAATATAAACGTTTTTTCTGAAAGCTAAGGGTTTAATTCTAAGCCTGTACGTTGCTGCAGACTTGTGTGCATCTTTATCAAACAAACTGAAATGATTAGTTTATGCTGCCTGTTACTGAGCTTGAGGAATCCAGTTTTACTTACTGTGTACCTGCAAACCACAATGACATGTACACAAAGCTGCCTCATTTTTCTGGGACTTCTGTTTGGATGCTGACAGAACTTGGAACGAATAAGATGTTTTCTCGGTGGTACTGGTGATTAAGCGAGCACTTCTGTGTGCCACAGGTGGTAGAGCAGAGTATCAACTGTTTGCAGGTTTTGAAGTTCAATTCTGAATTCTTGACCACAACACTGATTTTGAAGAAGGTTTAACCATCAGAGAACAACACAGCTCCTGAAAGCAGCTTTACGTCCACTGGTGTGAGTGTGAACATCACACCCACAGGAACAACAACAGACCGAAACAAGCTGGAACCATTTCCCAGTATTCATGTTAATGAAAGAAATTAATCAGGTAAGTGGCGCCATATAGAAACACGTGGTGGCCCAAGGGGGCCCCGGGTGCAGATTAAAATTCTGTCTTTTTTGTACATTTCATACAACCAATTATGGAGTGTGTTAGGAGACTCATCACTTACAAATAGAACTGGAAATACATCCTGCTGCCATTTTCATAAAATATTTTCCCTCTGGCTCTCCATCTCTGAGCTTTGTCAACAATAAAAAGAGAAAAAAAAGTAGAAACAGTTCTACATTTTTTAACCAGTGGAAATGTTACATCAAAAATTTCTACACTCAAGAGCATAAGGTTTTATTTCCAAAAGTACTGACTTGAAAAATGTATTATTCAGCCTTCTGCAATTTGCCATGGAAAAAAAAGTACTCCACCTCTACAAAAAAATTGTCTAGCTCTACAACTGTAGGTGCATAAAGGAATTAAAAAACTGATTCTATAAACAAAGTCTGAGAGTAAATTCAAATCAGCAATTTAGTGACAGCTGAACAGAGAATAAAAGCATTTCCTGCTGATAGAAAGATGGATACTTGGATCCCACAAGTGAAATTGTTGAAAGAAATAAAAAAATAGATTTTTTAAGATACAAATTCATCACTCTTGACTCTGTTTTTCTTTAGAAATGTACAGGAAGTTAAGAGACAGGCAAAACAGCAGAGGTAAAGCATGTGCTTAAAGAACAGAGACATGAAGCAGAAATGTGTGCAAAGAGCTGAATGGCACACAAAGCCTTTAAAACCTTAAAACATGACAAAGTGCTTGCCCAAAGGGAATGGGCTCAATTTTGGAGAATATTATTGGATATTGACCTTACAATGTAAAGTTTGTAGATATTGCTTTCACTATGATTTTGTGCTATATATATGCAATTTAAACAAATTTGTAAATTTGTTTTTTTGATTGAGAACAAATGCACTTCATTATTGCTGATTTGCTTGAAGCGTTAGCATTCTTGCTGAAACAACTGTTGGCTGTGAAATAGTGAAGAGAATGTTAGACCTAACTTACTATGTCCCCAAGACAGAAAGGCAGTGATTAACTTACATTTATAGTTTAAATGTTTTTACATAATTTTTACATCACATGCAAATAGATCTATGACTGTTGCATCATTTAGCATACTCTTTCAGAAGAGCATTTTGATTTTAAATGAAGAAAAAGTAAGAGGATTTGTCTGATCCTGGTAAAAAAAAAAAAAAAAGAAAAAGAAAGAAAAACTAACAAAAAACCACAACAATAAAACTAATTTTTAAAAGAATTTCTTTACATGTACTTACGTGACCAATTTGCTATTTTAGGCTTTTGCACACAGAATTACAGATTAACAAAGAAAGTTATGTATAACAATAAAGTAGGAATATGAACATAATTTCAGCAAACTGGAAATAGTACTTGCACTTACATCAAATACGGTCTCAATGTAGAGCTCATCACTGACACCACGGTGCAGAATGTCCTGGTTCTGTCGTACAAAACTAGTGTAAGTGTCAGCCAGATCCATCCTTGGTTTCTGCAGGACACAGGACAAAGGCAGGCCTGAGGGCAACTCATGGATGGTAGAGCATGAAAATACAATGTCAAACAATGTTACAAAAAGTATTTTTAGCATAAAGTTGAAATGAGACATAACTGGCATTAAATGTGAATAACTCAAAAAATAATGGTAGATTGCAATCTGCAGATACTCGGCTGGTTGTGCATGATGAGGTCTTCACACATTCTGAAATGTAGAGTGTTTAATGCAGCGAGGTGGAACACACATCCAAACACTATTGTCAGCGTGAAAACAAATAGCAATGCAAGCTAATACTCTTAGTGAATAAACCTTGATGCACTGATCTTTTGATTGTTTGGTCACTTTGGATCCACAGTGCATCCATTTCAATTGTTCCACATTTTGTCACCTTACAGTCTTTTTCTTGTAATGGATTAAATTCATTTTTTTCCGACCACAACATTCTTCACACAATACCCATTTCCACTGATCATCTGTCAGATGTTTTTACAACTTTACTGGAATTCCACCAGTAGTAAATTCAGTTGACTGGACATGACTTGGATAGGCACTTATATATCATATAGGACACCGGGCAATGTAAAGTCTCATAGCTAACAGTGCATGTCAGAGGACAAACCAAGCCATGGAGACCAAGTTACTGTCTGTAGACCATTTTCCAACAAGTCAACAACTCTAAACACACAGCCTAGATAATAAAGGAGTGGGTTCTGGACCACTCTGTGAATGTTCTTGAGTGGCCTCGACAGAGCACAGACTTGAACCCGACTGAACACTTTCCCTTAATTAACTTAATAAATAGCACTACTACATGCATCCCACTACTCTTACTACTAATGGCTAATACAGCTTACTGACGTTCCAGGAATAATACATTTAGATTGTCAAGTTTTCAGTAATACAAATCTGTGCTGCTGTTGACATTAGCTAAGAAGTCTTTCTCTCACATTTAAAACTTCTATACGTCTGTGCCTTTCCAAATGATCGGCTGACACAGTGGACAAACGCAGATGTTCTGGAAACTCTTGCTTGTACTCTTTATTCTGAAGTGAATAAAAAGTATATGATTTACTAAAATAATTTTCTCTGCAACAATTACAAGCAAAGCCTAACAATTGTTTTCACTCAGGAACTGTTCCCTGCTGCTTCAATCATAAAAAGGAAAAAAAAATCCTGCCCTGGACATGCTGTCCAGAGATATTACACCTGTAATGCCAATAGTAATTGCCTCCACATCTTTCACAGCCATGTTTTCTGAGCTGACGTGCATTAGGCCCAAGAGGAGACTTGTCATTCTGTTTTCTGTGCTGCACAAGAAAACTAGAAACCTTCTGGATTTCACTTAAAGTCAACAGGCAGGTTGGATATGGACTCAATATTGATAATTGTAATATTTCATCAAAGACAGCATAAAAGTCATCAAATCATATCACAAAGTTTCAAGAGCCTCAATATGGACAAAGTCCAGACAAGGTCACACTGTTCTCTCAAATAATTTTAAAATATGCAAAGTTGTGAGGGCCTCCAAGGTTATGCCTGACATTACAATTTAGTGATTTGTCTGCATCGGTCCATGCAAATGAAGCATACATCCCTGTTTTTAAACACACGCGCCCACACAGACACCCGAGCAGCAAAGCTAAAATAATTAACTTATTCGTCAAATAGTTGCCTGACAGTAAATTAATTGGCAACTACTTAAATGACAAATTAATTGTTCAAGTGATTTTCCAAAGAGAGAAAAAAAATCAAGCAGTCATTAGATTATTGTAGCTTCTCAACTTTGACGGTAACTCTTAGAAGAAGATAATGTGACCTCTCTGGTAAGTTGAATGTCTTCTGGTAAAAACTGTCTCAGCAGTTGTTTCAAAGGTCTATCAGAGAATGACAGACTGGGGTCAGTCAGAGACGATTAGCTGTAATTCAGACCGACTACTGAAGAAGAAAACCTGCAGACACAAGAGGTTAAAGTGGGGTCACATGGCTGCAGGGGGACTGTTGTGTGTGATGAAAAGAAGAGAATGGAGTGTTATAATCATCCTGAAGAAGTTACCCAAGCCCACTGACTGACAACCCTGTCATAATTCTCATAAGGCACTAGAGTGACTGGGGAGGTAAGTGTAAAAGATGATACTCAGATGAGTATCGTCTCTGATGTGTACAAGCAGAGACTTTGAGGTCATGCCCATGCTGATGCAAATATATTTCAAAACTATTTTTGCAACTGCTTCTGTGGTTTTTGTTGATTTCAGTTCAGAAATGCAGTTTTGTCAGATATCACCTGCATCCCCACCTTTACCTTTGATGTGTCTTTTAGCATTGGCTCTCTGATGCACAGTCCCATTTTATGACCCTACATCGTCCCTACTGGAGAGGTGGAGGTGGCAGGAATCATAACAACATCTGGGTAGTTGACTTATTAAAATAAGTTAAATCACTTGAAGTTCTCCTTTTTAACTACATTTTGATACCAGGTTCATTCTTTAGCTGTGATTCTTTCTTGATAATATTTGTTTTCTAATAAACTCATTTTTGATACTTTGAAATTCAGAGCCTTGTTTAAGAATATTTGAAATTCTTCTCTGATAGGGTTAAGTTCTCCTTCTGGCACAGTGCAGTATCATCCTAAGACTGAACAATAGCAATGATCTCCAATCTCAGTCTCAAAAACATCTTTTCTATGGTCCCAAAAATTGCTTACGACTTTCAGATTCATAACTTTTTCAAGGCACATGTTATAGTGGATGCATACTGACCAGTATTAACTTGTCACTTATGCTTCTAACTGATGCTGTAATGTTTTTTTTATTTTGAATGTCTTCTGGTGATTCATAGTTTATCAGTTCTCCTGTATTAAGTTCCTTCATTTCAGGAAAAAAACATTATTTTTTACTTACCATGTTTTATTTTCTGCTTTATTTTGATAGTTATTTGTGCCTTGAGTTCAGTTTGACTTCCCCTTGTATCATTTCCCTGATTACTTGCTCCTTTGTTGTTCCCCAGCTGCATTCACTTCCCCTAATTTGCCTGTTTTTAAGTAGCTTTAGTATTCTCCCTATCCTCTTCAGTGCATTTGTTATCTCTTCCCTTTGATGTTTCTGGTCATTTACAGTTTTAAATGGATTGACCCATATTATCAAGATAGCAATAATAATCTAGCAATCCTATTGATGGCGTGGCTGAATATCAGAGGGTTGATCAGGTCATCTACTCCAGTCTGCATGCCAGATATAGACAAGTGCTCTATGAATGTGTGAATGTTACACAGAAAGCAGTTACACAGAAAAAGGTGCTTGTATTCATGGGTGTGACTAGATGACTGAAGCAAATTGTATAAAGCCTTTGAGTCCTCAGGTATGGTAGAAAAACACTATATAAAACCAGTCGATTTAGCAGAACCCTACAGTCAAAAAATGTTCCTAACTTCCATCCATCCATTCGCTTCCGCTTCTCCTTTTCAGGGTCGTGGGGGGCACTGGAGCCTGTCCCAGCTGTCATAGGGCGAGAGGCAGGGTACACCCTGGACAGGTCGCCAGTCACAGGGCTAACACACAGGGACAGACAACCATTCGCACTCACATTCACATCTATGGGCAATTTGGATTAATCAATTAACCTATCCCCACAAGCTGCATGTCTTTGGACTGTGGGAGGAAGCCGGAGTACCCGGAGGGAACCCACGCAAACACGGGGAGAACATGCAAACTCCTCACAGAAAGACCCCGGCCTGATGGTGGAATTGAACTCAGGACCTTCTTGCTGTGCGGCAACAGTGCTAACCACCGTGCCGCTGTGCTGTTCCTAACTTTACAAGTGAAATTCCACTGGAGTAGTGAGTTGGAGATCTCATGACAAGGCCTGGATTTACTGCACGTGTGGTGGTCAGTTCATTTACTAGCACAGATGTTATGTGCAGCAAAGTTCCATAAGCAGGTTGAAATGTTAAAACCAGGAGCAACATCGCTTTGAACTTGAACATACATTCTCTTGAGGTGAATAACAATATCTGTTGATAACAACACATATTAAGGCCAATCAGTGCTGCATACATTGGCGTGAATTGGCTTGATGCCATGACAGGTAACGTTAACTTAGTCTCAGATATCAAACGGCACCTTTAGATATCTTATATCTATGAAAGTGCCATTTGGTACCAGTATGCCTTGGTGGGTCAAAACTGCTTAGACTCATAATAGACCAAAAGCATAATATTCAGGTTGGTCATAAAGTCTGGACTTAGGTATGAAAGAAAAACAGTCAGGTTCCTATACATCTATGCACATTTGCCACACAACCACAGATATATGGACAGGTTCAAAGTGTACAAAGTACAGTTCTCCTGTATGAGGTACAACATTTAAGAGTGTGTATGTGTGTCACTGGCTACATGTAAATGCCCCTGGTGTCACTTGAGACATCAATTTTCCCTTACCCTTTCCTCCCCTTAAGGCTTTTCACAGTCATTCACCTCTTTTTCTTTTGTTCTGGCGAGGCGACAAAGCACCATGACAGATCACAGATGTCGGCACAGTTCCAGCCAACAAGATTAGAGATTCTCTAGTGTTGAGCAATAGAAAGGATAGAGAGAGAAAAAGGGAAAATGCACATACAAGTAGTTCGTCACTGTTGTCCCGTTCTGCTCTCTCAATCTCCTTTACTGTTTCTTTAGTTTTACCTAAACACTAGTAATCCTCTCTGCATCTAGATAATGGATGTCTGTTAACTTATCAATATTTGACAGCAACAAAAAACATTTTAAAATAAAGATATGTTCCTGTACAGGTACTGATCAGTGCAGGTATAAGTCTAAAGAGAGGAGAGGGAGGAGGTGCCTTTTGTTATCAGGGTAATGGGGCATTAAATTATTAAGTAACTTCACAATGATATCAGTTCCATTTCCTGCCTTGGGTTCATTTAATTTTTTTCCAGGTGGATGTCGTGTATGGCAAAGAAGAAAGTGCTTGTGTGAATAGATGAATGAGGCTAGTTGTGTA